TACGACCGCCATTAACCATCAGATCGAAAGCACCACCGTTATCCTCACTTCGACTGAGCGTGAAACCGGTTAACGGTGGATGACGTGCTTCCGCGATTCGGACACCCGTAAGCGGTGATCCATCTTGTGCCAAAACACGTCCACGGATGATTGATACAAAACTGAACAAGAATGGACTTTTAAACAACAGGTAAAAGTTATGATGATTTGAGCCTCCCTTTTTACCCCTCCCTCTGTTTCCCCGCTCACCCCATTTCCCCAAATGCTTTGTTACAAAATTCTGGAAAGCACTACCTGTTAAGAAATGTGCAAAGTGCAGCCAGAAAAGAAGATATGAAAACCAGCCAAAACTCAAAATAAAAGACACTAAGACTGGTTTTTTTTAGGAAGACAAGCTGGATTAAAATTAAAAAAGAACATTTACGAAACATTTACGCCCGAAACAAATCGGCTACTGAAAGATTACTGTAAAAGCAAATTTTGATTCACATCTAAGGAATAATTCTGAAAAACAGCTACTACTTAACCACTGATGGAGAGACAGATAATGATAATGGTACAAATTTAGTCCTTATCGAGAAGCACAATGCTTCTTCAGGAATGTGAACTCTTTCAGTATTCATTTTAGGATAAAGAAGGGAGGCGAGGAGAACTGAAAAAAAAGATCATATCTTAAAAGTTGCATCCGAAGAGCACGATTAAAATTAGGAGCCAAACTCTACATACCTTGCGTTAAAGTGGCGCTCGTCCGTATATCGCTGCACTGAATCTCGTTGAATCAGAAACTTAATTTGCTGAAATAATTTTTATGTACAAATTAAAGAAAAGTTAACTGAGGGTAATCTTATTCCTAGTTTTGATTTTCATCTGCTCTAAGGACTAAAAAACGAATTCGGACTTCTGTAAAAATAGATTTAAGCTTTATTTATTATAATATTAACCTGATAAAAATTGGCGTTTACTGGTGGGATTACTTTTAGGAGAACATCTCGTGGCTGTATTACCGTAGCACACATCTGACTGGACGAGCAACTCCTCTCTGTGCAGCACTCCGAATCCTCACAATCAACCAGTCCATCTAAATAGTTGAACAGATTGTACCAAATGTGCATTTGCGAAACTTTCTTGAAAACTCATTTTTCCAGACCAGTATTCGAAAAGATGGTGCTTGTGAACGGTGTATACGGTAAGTTACACGAAAGCAAACAGAGTGGTTACGGTAGGTTATGTGCAGAAAAACGGTCTGGAATAGGGAAATTTTACAGCGCTGCAATCGGCGCGCGACTGCATTTTTTGACATCGATTGGCTCACAAAAGCAGCTGGATAGAATGGTAAAAAATTTTATATCAAATTTTCTTTCGTAAATTGAAACCTTCAAATTCTGCACATGGCTGAGTCTTCTTCGCTCTAAGATTGCTAATTTTTTTCGGAAAAAGCCAACATAAAAAATGATTGCGAAGAAAAATGTTAGATAGTTTTAGCCAAAAAATCTGCTTGTCACCTGTTCTCTCTAACCAAGAAAAGAAAATGCTACCTAAAAGAGAATGGAAAGAGGGAACAGAATGCCAGGATGTTCAAGAAAAAAAAACGTTTTGAAAAATTTATTCGTATGCTGTAAATTTTTGAAAAAATTTTGTTTTATTCAAAAGCCAAAGCCCTTGGGTTTCATATTTTGTAAATACAAATAAGCCGCTTTTA